CATACCTCCTCGATACAGTAAAACAAGATGGCTGACTTACGCTTATCCTTATGCTTACGCTTATAGCAGTGCGTTCTCACTTGACATAAACATAAACATAAGCACAAGCACAAGAAGATCAAAAACTTATGTCATAGAGAGAACCAGGCTTGTGTCGCAGTTTCTTGAAGTGATTATAATCACGCACGCTCACATACTGACCTTGGACTACCTGTGATGGGACAATAAATATTTGATAACCAATGACCCAAGTCTAAGCCAACATGACGTCAGTAATATACACATTCCAAGTCGTGTTGACACTGATCCTGTTGAAACGTTAAAAGCATTTATAGCAACTTATGGAGACACAACTTTGAAACGGTATATTACTGATGTTTATCCTTGACTGCATTTTGTAAAAGCATTTTCTGCTTAACTAAAGCACAGTCTAGAAAGTTTCTTCATCTTCGCTTTTCCGTTCAAGAGACTCATCCTTTTAGCGTGACGAGTACGATGACGGAAAAACGTCTTGCCTACGCTAAATATAAACGGCAAACAAACGAAACCTTAATTAAATGAAATAAAATCCAACTCTAGGATTATCGAACTTGCTGCAATGCTGGGAAATGCATTGCTTTGTCCACCTCGGTTGAGCTGAGTGCAGACCCGCTGACTCACGCGCGCACGCGAAACGAGGAAAAAAAGATGTTACTTTGTTTTCTGATTGATGAATTTAGTTTCAAAATCTGATCTCCGTTCTGTTATTTTCCACAAAACCGAATCTTGTAAACTACCTGTCTCTTTTCTGTCGTGGATTGACGAGTGGCAAGGAACGAGAATCTCGCGAGGAACGACAATGGCGCGCGCTAAGTTCTCGAGACCGGAAACTAACGAGCTGACCAGACAGGCGTGTCTCCCGGCTTCGATTAAACAAAACGTGACCCAATTAAAATATGAGTTTTACAGTCTAGCATCTTTGGTATTTCCCTCTGTGGCAGTATCTTCGGTATATCCCTGTCTGGTAGCATCTGTATCCACCTCTAGTTACTTGCTTTATCAAATGATTTCATTTCAATGGCTTTTTCGTAACACGGTGGTGGAGTTTCGAGAACATCCTCTGCCCAAACGTCGTCGTCCGCAGTGGTATAAAATTCATGAACATTTTGAAGCACAGTAAAATAATCTGGCAAATCGATCGAGGAAGTATCATCAAACGGCTTGCCGTGAGGAAATTGATTATAAGACAGGAAAGACACAGGAGATTTTTCCAGATCCTCAGCGGGAATGAAAGAGATGACAACTTGACGAGTCACGTCGTTATGTCTTCTTTTGCCGCAAACTGTTGTTGCTAGGATCAGCAGTCCAGCAATGAACAGCAAAATGGCGAGTGCGCTCAAAATTCCCACCACGAAGGTACGACAGCCAAGGCAATTCTCCGCAAACAAAATAAAAACGAACACCAATAGAACGGCACTCGTTGCAATACAGAGAAATGAAGCGCATAAATAAAGCTTTCTCTGACACTTAAACGATCTGGAGTTGTCCTGTTCCGCAAGTGTAGTATTTTCAGTCATGGTAAAACACGTAGGTACTACAGATTCAAAATGATCTCTTTTCAGGCCACCCTTCTTTGTAGCTCGAGGACCGGTGCACGCTGCTCTCCTAAAAACACGTGTGCATTACAACCGGCTTTCTTGCTCTATTATATAAGACCGTTAAAATAAACGTGGCGAGGACCGGCTGCCGTGTGACGTCAGCGAAAATCCTTAAAAGCCATAATCTGACCCGATTGTTGTTTTCTTCCGGTGAAATGTATTTCCTTATTTCTACAGTCACGCGATATCTCCAAATGAAGACTAACATTCACTGATGTCACTGGAGACTTATTCCCGGAAGATAGTTCCCTTTCATGAGAAATACAGGTCTGTTCGTCACTATGCAATACTTTGCATACCACTTTCGTCTGAAATAGAGATTCTGTTCACTCTTACCGCCCCGGGGAGGGGTACTTGACCCATGTTTGGCTATAGGGGTACTGCCGACGGTTTGAAATCCTGACCCTGTTTAGGATAAAAATGCTTTAAAAGCCCTACTCTGTGTAGGACAAAGAAACACAAAGAAACAAGACCTACCAGTACGACCTATTCTGTTAATGCGCAGTTGTTATAATCTGATAAGAGAAAATATTTGTTTTACCGATAACAATGGCATTCTTGTCCAGAAAATGATCTGACGTTGATTGATGACCTTGTAATGGCCGGTGAACGTCTCTCGGCTCGTAATACCATACCCTGTTAAGGACAGGCTCTGACGCTGCTTAGGACAGAGGCGAATTTAATTGTATACCCTGTTCAGGACAACGAAGCCGAAAAAACCATGCCCTGTCCAGCGGCACGTCCCCGTATAGCCCAAATAAGGGAGCACCCCCTCTTCAGTCTTGCCTCCAATGGTTCTTAGTTTGCAAATGCAATTAGATTGGAGAATTTAAACCAATTAGGTATTGATATATAGGTACACGATAAGTTGTTTTAATCTGTCTTGGTTAGCCGAGGTCGTGTATTTATGGAAAAGTATATTAATCTGAGAGTCCAGAGTGCGAGAGGGATCAATTTTGGAACAGAATCGGAAATAGTTTATTGAATAATAAATTATAAATCTGAAATAGGATGAAGGGTCCAAGAAAAATAAACCTTCGCCCCGATTAAAAGATTTCAGGGAGGACTGTTTGAGGGATTCTTTGGAAGAGCAGGTCTATGAATCATTCAACCGCACTAAAAAAATACGCTTGTTTTGGAAAAACAATCAGAAATAAAATATAAGTGATAAGTGGATATCAGACTGGTTCAAACTTACATAATGCTGGCCGCAGCTTTGAGGAAACTTATGCCAGCGTGCCTGCTGAATGACGAAGTCATTGCAATTTTCAAATGCCAAAGAATGAACCCCCTATTTCTGAGAACGTGAGAAACGGATCTTGAAATTCTTGTGGTTAGTTCTCATTTTTCAGAGAAAAACGTGACGCAAAATTCTACAAAAATTTCCGATTCTTAGAGGAAACGGTCAAAACATGTGCTGCGACGATGGCTTGAAAAGCGTACGATAATGCTTAGTACCTACTCCAAATTTATCTCTCTTTTAATTTAAGAGTTAAAAATGAACTTAACGAAGAACCCTCGAAATAAAAAGTTGTATTACTATAAACAATTTCGACTAGGAAACCATTCTTGACGAACACAAAACCGAAGCATATTTTACCCAGAAAACTCCAGAAAACCTATAGAATCTTTTCATTCTGTTATTTAAATGAGATAGGAAATGAACATCACTCCCCTTTTTTCCATATTCTTCACGAAAAATCACATGAGAGTATCTCAGACTTTATACCTCGGTCAAGGTTAGGTAATGCCACGTCTGTTTTATAAATGGAAATAGTAAGTCATTAAATTATTCCTGTTGCAACACGCACCCTTTAGCTATACGTGCAGTTCTGTATAATGCTTAATCACGCATAAAAATTACATAAGATTATGATTAACAGAAAATTAAATACCATTGCCAAAATATTAGTACATCCTTTGGACAATGAATAAAACTGGACTGCTTTCTTCAATTAATGGATGTCAATATAGCTTTTTAAAATAGACAGTGTCAAAATACTGTTCCGGTGTCCGGTTTTCTTCAGATAGAAAATTCTGTCTGTGAATCTGGTGCGTGATGTCACGCACGTGCAAAGTGCTTAGGAAACCGGTTGAAATAATACATGTAAATTTTCCATCGGATTTCTAGATAACTAGCTACCTGATCCACTAGCCTTACTAGCAAAATTTACGGATGTGAGCCTCGGTTTTGCATTTGCGTGGAAAAACCGGTGACAATTTCCGTCCAACTGGAATGAGACGGGATCGGATTTGACACACGACATTTGAAAACCTTCCAGTGAAAAGGACTGTTGCATTTTATTTCCCATCGAAACAAGTGCGGATTTCTCGTATTTCATTAAAAGAGCTCGGTCGCAGTATTTTGATGTTATAATGGCCACGTACAAAATTGTTAAGTTGAAGGAAACCGGAAAATAAAAATTTAATAAGATAGAAAAACACCAAAGAGTTATTGATAAACCGTAAAGGAACAAGGATGGTTAAGGATGGAGAAGATTAACACGGATTTCAAACGACGAACTTGAAAAATTTAGGCTAAACTTTTCAAGATGGGTGATATCGATGCGAAAAATTTCCAGTGGAAAGACGCATTACATTTACTTTCCCACCAGAAAAACCGATTCTATACCATACCAAGGGAAAACGCCCCTCGCTTCCCCTCAACACTGCTGGTTCAGACATGATGATAGATGCGAATGCATTCATAACAAAGACTTTCAGGCTTTGAACGGGATTCGAACGCACGACCTTCGCGATACCGGTGGAATTCTCTCCCAACTGAGCGACCTGAAATTTTTTCAGTTCTTTTTACCAGAAGTGTTATGACTGCATTCGCATCTATTATCATGTCTACATTTAATTGCTACTGTTGGACATCTATCACTGCTGGTTCAGTAGTATCCGATTTAACGAACCTCTTTTTAACGGAGTCCCAATCTCGTTCCCAGAGTCTTCGTTCCCCTTGAGCAGCGGTCAGAAAACGAGAGCTCTGGGAGCAACCATTTTAGGCGTGCGCCATAGATGCAGACTGTGCACTGAAACCAGATGGGCAGAATTCGGTTATTTCAAAATGGTTGCTCCGAGAGCTCTCGTTTTCCGACCGCTGGTCAAGGGGAACGAAGACTCTGGGAACGAGATTGACGGAGTCCTCGATATAACGAACGATTTTCTTAACTCCATTAATTGTCAAATATATGGAAAAGAGCTTCGATACAACGAAACCTCGTTATAGAGAACTCATTTTGCAACTCCCTTCATTTGGCCCTTCGTTATATCGAGGTTCCACTGTAATCTGCTTTTCTCTCGAAATCAGGCAAAGGCAAAGCCCTGGGATAGGCGAGACCTTTGGGACTAGAAGAGACTAGGACTAGACATGGGGTTTGCGACATGACAATCACGAAAAATGAAACAGATTGTGGACTCTTCTGATGCGCTGTGAGGACATTTTGAGACACCAACATGGCCGCCGTTTCATTGGTGTGGGACACCAAAATGGCTGCCGTGACGTCACGTGGAAACACGCTGTATTCACCACTGCGAGCTGTATCTCTTTTGCTCGAAAATCTGCGAGGAAGAATTTAAACGAACAGAGGCGAGCAGCGAAGGAGCACGCTACTGGCGGCTCGCGGTTTCGCCGCTTGCATGTGCTCCTGGTTTGTGTTCTCCCCTCCCCGATCTTCGCTTTACAGACACATCAAAGTGTGCCACTACGTGCAAAGTTTAGTTTAATTAGTGAAGTTGCTGCATGGCACGTGTAGCTCGTGCAAAAAAAGAAAAAGGCTTAACCTGTAGTTTGAAAAGTACAATGGAAGTTTTTGGGAAAGACATATATATAGAGAGCGTTTTCACACAACATTACAGCAACCATATTGGAGTTCCAAAGCAATGAAAAGTCGGCCATGTTGGTGAACCAAACCAATCCTGTGGGAGCCGAAGTCTTATGTAAACACTTTCTTTTGTTTCAATAAATTTCCATGTGAGTTGGCCACGTGAGTGAAAACGATTTGTATATTTAGGTTTATGAATTATACCACCGTTTTCTCTCACACGAATCTTCATGTTTCAACTGTCACTGGTGGCTGCATGTATTATATAACTTCACGGGAAACAAAAATTAATGAGAGTTAAATTTCTTTTTCCCAGTTCACCTAACTAATGGTTCATATTTTTAGGTTTTAAAAAATTATACAACAGTTGTTCCTCACCCAAATCATAACATTTCGACTGTTACGTAACTCACTGTATACAGAATCCCAGGACTTTCATAAGAAACTCAAAGCGACATTCTTAAATGAGATAAATGTACTTTTATTGAATACTCGCCCATATTTACAGAATATATTTATGAATTGTACAATAATTTTCCCCACACAAATCCTTACATTTTGACTGTTACGTAACGTCAACATGTATTATATACAGACGGTTAGGAACTTCACTGAGCGACACACCTAATGTGAAGTAAGTTTTGTCATTCAATACTCGTTCATATTTACAGGCAAACACATGTACAATTGTTTTCTTCCACACAAATCTTTTTTTTATATACTGTTTTGTAACTTATCGTTCCAGACGCCTAAGAACGGACAATTCCTTATACACTCTTTTTATTATATAAGAATAAATCATTTTATAAGAATATCGAGGTTGAAAGTTTGCCAAATTCAAGAATAAACCCAACACTGAGTTTTTGAAAAGAATATATCATTTTGTGTGCTGAAAATTTGTAAATACAACACAATCACGTGTTTTAACTAAACCGTATGAAATTCTTCCTTTCTCTAAAGGACTAGCCGCACAGCAGCAGCCGCATGTTCGATGCTAATACAATTTCTAAAGAAGTTATGTGTGTCATTTGAGGCTGTATTGCCTGCAGTCTGACTCCAAAATAACTTCAACATCATTTGGACACGAAACACTTGAAACTGATACCCCAATACATTTCAAAATAGAACTTTCATACACTATAATCTTAGAATATTTACAAGAATATTTTCAGCAGAAAATCGGCAGAAAAATAAGAGTGTTCAGACTGGGCCGGCAAAACAGTATTCTTATTAAAAAGAGTGTATTTTCATATCCTTACACTGTGATGTAACTGTACTGCACGGTACAGCCTCTCATATGACGAGCTTGGGCGACCTGTGTCATAGGTTGCCTCTTACACTGGCTTTAATTAAATCGCAGAATATCAGGGCAAAGCCATCGCTCGACGTCTGTTGTGGCGATTTCTCAAGTTCGTTATGCAGAATCTTCGCTTTGTACCTCCTCTTCAACTTCAACTGCAACAGCAGTTAATGTCATTTCAAGCGCTTTTGCGTAACACGGCGGAGGAGTTTCAGGTATTTCAGGAACATCAACGGTCCAAATGTCCTCATCCGCATCCACAACTGAATAAAGTTTATCAAAATTTTGAACAACGGTGTAGTAATCGGGCAAATCTAAGGAGGGTACTTTTTTCTCTTCGGCTGCAACACGGGGGATGTAATTGTAAGGCAGTACAGGAGCGGGCGATTTTTCCAAATCTTCGGCAGGAATGAAAGAGATGACCGCTTCAGGAATGTCATCATAAGCGTTGTTTTGACCTTTTTTCCACGAAAACGCCATCAATATGCTGCCTCCGAGAACAAAAAGTAACGTGCCAACACATCCCAAGATCGTCACAAAGTAGGATTCATTCATGGCAAGTAGACTCTTCTCGCAGCTGGGACAGCCTTTAAACCAGATTACAACGATCATAACAATTATCACGAAGATCGACAGACTCCCGGCGATGGACAGAAATGCGAGGGACAAATAAAATCTTTGCATGCACTTTGGCGAACAGTCTGATTCTTCGCGTTCTCCTATCATGATTAAATCGGCTTATCTGACACCGGGTCACTGTGAAAGACTGCAATGCTTTAGGCTTATTTCTACTCATAACCGGATGAATTCACTAGTTATAAATGGTTGACACGAGTGAAACTCGCGCCGTAGTCACGAGGTAATTTGCGGGTCACGTTTGGGACAACCCTAATTTTATGTTTTCTATTTTGTCCTCAAGCATGGGCCAACTTCGAGCTCGTGCTGAGACCAGCGAAGCTGTTTCGTGAACTCGGGGCAATTTCAAGTCAAGTTCGAGGCAGCCTGCCAAGGTTATCTCACTTCTCATTTTAACACTGCAATGTAATTTAAGTGTTATTTACTCGAACTTTTTTATTCCCAAGATGCAATTCTTGTCTTCACAACCTGAGAGATCTTGGCAAGCATGTAGAGGAGGAAACAAAAGAAGTAAATATGTCTATACGCAAACTGAGCAGATCAAAACACGGTAGTTCTATTGATGCAGTTGACGTTCAAACAGCCATTTCACTGTCAGAGCCGTTTGCGGGGTCAGTTTCAGTCAAGCAGTTATCATAAAACAGCGAGCTGGTACGGATCATATCATTAAAAAAAAATTAACAGCGAGGACGGACAGTGGCGTAGCGACGATACAAGCTCGTATGCTCGTCGGTTCACCTCCGGAAATCTAAAAAAAATGTGTTGATATATTTGTTGGCGAAAAGCGTCTTTAATGATTAAATTGGCTGGTGTTGAGAGCAGCCCAATGAGTGAGGAACGTTTGTCTTCCAAGGCAATTCTTCATATGAAGAAGCATAAGGATTGTGGTTTGAGAATCTGCACGTCTGAATTAAGGGGAGAGTTCTGGCTTTTCCCTTCGGTGCGCACTCCACAAAAAATGTACACTGCGTTGAGGCGAGTGATCTTCGTTACCAATTGAGGTGTAGTATATATTTTTTTCTTGTATTGCTTCCCACGACAGCTTTGATGGGTCACAATTTTTCACTATATAAAGGTCAGGTTTCTCGCATTTTGTTACGATATGCTTAATTGGAAATTGGACCCAAGGCGTGTCTCAAACATGTCGTGCGTAACACGTTTTCAAACCCTTTGGCACGCTTCGCGGGCTTCTCATCACGCGAGTGTGGTTTTGCATTAGTTCGCCATGTTCGCATTTAGGAGCCTGAAATACCCGTAGCGAGACCAAATGCGTTTAATGTGCTGCCTAAGCGTACCAAGAAAGGTACGATTTAGTAATTAACGTGCTCAAATTATGCCATACATATGACCATATCAGGTCAGTGACTTGATATCCCAGGATCGCAGACACGGCTTTTTATGGGCTTATTATGAATCTTGTTACAATTAACAGAGTGAGCAGATCTTGCCATTTGTTTCAAATGGGCCTTCTACTGCGCTAAAGGTTGGCCGACTTTGGAATTACTCAC